CCACTGGCCACCAGTCTGGTGGCCATGCCAACAATCTTTTCACCTCTGCAGTCTCGCCAGTGGCTGGTCTGGCTGCTTCAGCCGGCCTGCCGGCCGCCAATTGCCGCCTCGTGTTGCGTGCCAGCCTGCACGGACATCGCGAGGCTGTCACTTGTCTGGCGGCTTCCGACGCATTCAGCCTGTTGGTGACCGGCAGCAGCGACCGGCGCTGCCTGCTCTGGGACCTGGGCCGACTGTGTCTGTTGCGCCAGTTGGGGGGTCATGAGGCTCCGGTAGCTGCGGTCTGCATCAACGAGGCGACCGGCGAGCTGGTCAGCTGTGCTGGTGCACGCATCTCTCTCTGGACGGTGAATGGTGACCCGGTCGCCAGTGTCGAGGCCCCACTGGAGCCCAACCGGCAGATACTCTGCGTCACCATGAGCTCGGTGGGCATTCCTTGGTGGTTTTTATGTCTCGCTCTATCGCGCCACTAGAGTTGCATGTTTTGACAGCATCTTTCTCTTCTAACCAGTAAAATATTGGTCCTCATGTCACTTTGAAAAGGATAGAGTAGCACCCAAGCCACAGCGGCTTGCCTGACTGGGCATTTACCAACCATCGTACACATGCACAACTGACTAGAGCCGTGGGATTAGGCTGGGCTGTCAACTTAAGAGACAAGAGCATTCAGCAGTGGAGAAGGGGAGTGGTCCATTTTCAGCCAGTGATTCCCAATCAAGCCAGGCACAAGACCCCAAAGAATAAGATACAATAGACGTTGGGACAAGAAAGAAGATAACTTGGTCATTGGTCTGAAGTCTATGGAAAATAATATGCATAGATAGGAGAACCACTGATCTTTAACTTTTCTAGTATGACGTGAAAAGGGCCATAGGTAGCCAGACAGGGGTTTTCATATGTAACAGGGACTAACTGACAAACGGGGTGGAGGCGAGCTAAATGAAATTTCCTTCAAGCAGCATCTTAGTCTGGTGGTGAAAGTGCTTATGCTTCACTAAATTCACTTTTAGCGACACACTTTTCTGCGACATTGGAGGAAATGAGAGCATAGAATGATATGGGCAAAGAAAGAGGCGAGTAGTGATGCTACAATGGCTGAGCAGAAAATCAGTCAAGTCGATTGCCTTCACTCTAATAAGTTGTAAGTCTGTGCTAGGAATGGCATTTCTCATTGACGATGCCGACTAAAATGCCGATGAAGCGTCTGGAAATCATCAAAAATACTGTGGCAGAGGACGCATGACTAGTTATATTTCACAGGGTCTCCTTGTTGCTCCGACTAAGTTGCGAAAATGAGATCAAATAAACATTATTTACGTAGATGTGGGTTGACCTCGTTGTCGAAACTTGGTCTTGTTGTCGGGGCGACGTATTAGAAAGCATTTAGTCCGAAGTCGTCTGACATAATAGTTGTCATGATTCCCAGCATCAGACAGTGGACTTGGTACATTCTCAAACGTTTCGCTGGCATCATCAGTGAGTTTTGTCATTCTCCGCACCAGGTGCATTCTACTAAGTCGCCCTGACAACATGACCAAGTTGCGACGATGTCAACCCACTTCAATAAATCGAAAGGAGACTGCGACCATACCATAGGCCACAACATCTTGGTCTTCATATCCTCAATTTTTAGGTAGTTAAGTTGTTTTTATTTGGCGCAACGTCTGCGACTAGGTTAAGAATGAACTTGTATGGTCTTTTTGGTCCGATTACTTGACCTGTCTACGGATAGGCTTTTTTATGCCATGCCAAAGTTGTGAAATAGGCTGGAAAATTAGCTCTAATTTAATACTCTCTGATGTAGACTTTTGAAGACACCAGTTTGTCTGTTCACTCAGGCAGAGGTTTGCTTAGTCGAATAAGTTGCTAGACAACACCCGGGGAGAATAATCTGTGGAAATGAATTTTATTCGCATAAATGAGTCGGCTTTGTGGGAGCGACATGATATTGTGATCCCATCAAAGCAGATTCATGAGATACATTGCTCTCTTCTAAATCTCTGGCAATTGGGACGAGTCCGAGTCTGACGCCGCGCATCTGTATTCGACTCTTGATTGGTGGATGACAGGACCTAGGCGAAGTCAAAGCTGCAGTCCAATCTGGTTTATTTTTGATACAAGAACTGAAGATCCTGATATTTAAAGAAAAACAGGTTTTCAAAGGATCCCTTAAT